ACGTCCCGCTAGTGTCTCCCCCCCGTGTGTTTTAGGAGTGTTTTTGATTCTCCCCCCAACCATTCCCATCTCCACGCGTCTGTGCGGGGAATTCTGGGAGTTGAAGTCCACACATCTTAAAGTTCCCAAGGTTGAGAAACACTGGACTATATAATTGGCTCAGAATAAGTGGGATGGCTTAGAATAGAAGTATGACTTTAAATGCAACAAAGTTGATTATGCCCAGATGATACGAATAGCTCATTGTAATCGCATACACATGCTTAATGCATTAACTGATTTTTCTGGGTTGCAAAACACATTGAATAATTAATTAATTAAATAGGCTAGGTCCAAATAACACACTAAAGCCAAAAAATAAAAACTAAGTTAATTAGATTAGAATGTTGTGTCAATGCAGCTAGTAGGACTTTAACTGACCCTGATATTTAAGTATGATAAAGTATTTTGTGTGACTAAATGTGATTAACTGATCCTGATATTAAATACTGATAAGTATTTTGTGTGAAATTAAATGTCAGTTTATTACATCTATATTTGAATTCGTTCAAGACATAATGCTAGTCATTTGATTTTGGCTTGAGGTTTGAATCCAACTATTGTGGCTTGTAAAGCATGGCTTATGGCCTAGTATTAAGAGGGAAGCATACCTTGTCCAACAAACCATGATTAAAAGATACCTTAGCTTAGCAGAACATGGGAATCTGATCAATACGTTTCAAGGACTAGCATTACTTGTAACACGGCTAGTCTCAGGCATACATAGGACTTCGGGGGAGATGTTTTCCTGCTGACAAAGCTATTCTCTGACATCAGTAAATCACTTCCACAGATCCTCATGCTCTATGAAGCAGATATGATTGTAATATACAAACTATTTTGGGAGATGGTGGCGAGCACCCTTCAGTGAATGTGATCAAGCAGAATAATCAGTTATCTGTTGAAATTTGGATTCTTGTATTGACAGAGCAGACATATCTATAGGGTGTCTGCAGGGCATGGTTAAGATGGTGGCCACGATGGTGTGATTGAACTCCCTGTGTTTTATTTCTGCATCGTGGCTGCCATCTTGACTTTTTTGACCATACCCCATGGACCGCCTGCTAGTCCCAAGCCCTTGCTCAGTGCAATAATTAAAACATCTCTGACAGATAGCTGCCCATTTCTGCTTGATCACATTAACTTTGTTTTTTAACCATAACCCATGGACACCCCAGGAGTAAATGGATTCTCCCAATTCTAAGACTGTGATTTTATGAGTGTTGCTCATGACTTGGCCTTTTGATACAAAAAAGAACTTCGTTAATGATTTTTTTTAAAAAAAATGTTTCTCATTTCTCCCATAGGCTGTATGTAGATGGGCCCTTTGGGAGCCCTTTTGAAGAATCTTTCAATTATGAAGTCAGCCTCTGCATCGCTGGAGGCATTGGAGTGACCCCATTTGCAGCCATCTTCAATACCCTGCTGTATGTAAGCTTCATTGCATTAAAGTTGTCCCCACGCCACCCCAAGATTTTCCTACAGTATTCTACCAAATGTATGGCTACAACATAACTCTCTTCTTTCTATCATCTCTTCTGTCTAATCATCAGAACCATAAATCATTTTTTTCTGTTATACACGAAAAGTCCATAAGAGGTTTCCAGTCAGCAATAAAGGTCGATATTGTCTTTCCTCTGGTCAAGGAAGTCAATTTAGCCATCTCAAGCAAGTTCCATCATCTTCACCAACCATTCCTTCATTGTGGATCTTTCCGTTTTTGTCCATTCAGTCCTCTCGCCGCAATTATCATGTACAAAAACAAAGTTCCATGATTTCTTTCCAACTCTCTGTCTGACAGTACATATTTTGTGAACGTAACAATTGTATTTTATTAATGCAAATTTAAGGTAGAGTATGTTGAGGGAACCTACAGTAGTGATAGAGTTGGATCTAGGCTTTGGAATCTGTTCAGAGGTCACTTTAATCTTGTGGATTCCAGTGAATCATTTTGTATGCATGTCAGTTTCAGGAGAGAGCCAGTTTGGTGTAGTGGTTAAGGCACCAGGCTAGAAACCGGGAGATTGTGAGTTCTAGTCCCGCCTTAGGCACGAAGCCAGCTGGGTGGCCTTGGGCCAGTCTCTCTCTCTCAGCCCTAGGAAGGAGGCAAGGGCAAACCACTTCTGAAAACCTTGCCAAGAAAACTGCAGAGACTTGTCCAGGCAGTCACCAGGAGTCAAAAAACTGACTCAAAAGCACACACACACAATATCAGGATCCAATTCACTCTCCTCTAAAAAGAGGGGTCAGTGTGAAAATTAAACCAGTGTCTAAAACAACTGCTCCAAAATCAATTCTTTCATTCACAAAACAATTTTATCTTGCACCTTTCTTGGAAGCAAGCCCTATTGCCAACAGGTGCTCCCACCACACGAGTTGGCATACCAAACTGGGGTTGCAAATATAGGGGTGGAAATATATAGATGGCAGCAAAGTGACCTTAAGCTTTACCTGGTTGACTTGCTTCAATCTCCAAGAGAAGGTAGTTATCATAAACTTAAAGTATTTATTTTTATTTATTAACAGCATTTCTGGCCAGCCTCAATCCAAAACGAGTCTGGGCAATGAACAACAACAATTAAAATTACTGCAATAAATCAAAACATAAAAACTATTGTAGCACCCCCCCAAACAGCTCAGGCTGAAGGCACCATGAAAAATGCCTTCAGAAATGTGAGCAAGGTAGGAGGTGCATGTACCTCTAGGGGAAGGAGTTCCACAAAGTAGGGGCTACTACTGAGAAGGTCTGCTGTCCTGAGTGCACCACATGTATCTCACAAGGAAGATGGAATCCCAACAGGGTCCTTCGTAGATGCCTGGATTGGACAGCAGATTCAATTCTGGCAAGCACTGCTTGGCGCTGCACTGTGTGGAACTGCAACCAATGCAGCAGCTTTAAAATAGATGTTATTCTAGACTGGTGGTGTTGTCCCACTAGCCGTCTCATTGCTGCATTGTGTATCAGCTACATCTTCTCGGTGCAATGGCTCCAAAGGCATTTTAAATTGCTCCTTGATTCCTAACTGATGATTTCTTATTGCTTTCCCCCCAAACATGGTGTGTATGTGAAGGGATGACTGGAAGCACTACAAACTCAGAAGGCTTTACTTCATATGGGTATGCAGAGACATCTTGTCCTTCCACTGGTTTGCTGATCTCCTCTGCAAATTGCATAACAAGGTAAGGAGTAAGTAACTCCTAACCCCCATAGGTCCATGACAAACAATTGACTATTGTCTTAAGACTGGTGGTCAGAAATTAGGGATAGATCATGTTCAGTTAGCCATCTTTTTGAATTGGCATGTTTCCTTACTTTGCACAATACCCTGAACTAACCATGTAGCCTGTGTCCCCATAGCATACTAAGCACCTCCCATCCAAAATTAACCAAAGTTGAGCCCTAACTACAAAGCTGAGTCCTAACTACAGCCCTAACTACTTTAGTGTGATGTGGTCATTACTGGTTAAAAATGCTGTGGGATAACAGCTGATATTTTGGACTACATGGAGAAACCAACAAGTATCTTGGAACTCCAGGAGCTCAAGCTGGCACACATGGCATTCCCACACCCATTTTTCCCCATAACATCAACCCTGTGATGTTGTCATGGGACTGAGAGAAAGTAGCTGGATCAAAGTCACACAGGGAGCTTTGGCTGAAAGACTCAAACCAGGGTCGACCTACTCTGAGTTCAACACCTTCAACACTATGCCACAGTGACTTTTACCATGTAATAATGCCCTATTAACACATATGTCTGTCTGTCCATCTATCTGCCTATCTGTCCATCCATCTTTCCATCCACCCATCCATCTATATCTTGGGCTCTAAGCAGCATGTTACCCAATTATTTATTTTTATTTATTAATAAAAATGTTTCATTCGTTTGCTTTATTATTAAAAAAGCAACCTTAGATAAAAGCAAGAACCATCCATAAAACAACAACAGGCTGAGGGAGTAGCAAACCATCCTTCCACATTCCCCCAGCTTAAAGGGGCCTACCCAACCATCTTAACCCAAAGCTTGGGGGAAAAACAGGTTTTTAAAGATTGTTCGAAGGTAGGCAAGGTGGGGGCTGTATGACTCTCCATGGGGATACTGTTCCAAAGGGCAGGGGAAGCAACAGAGAAGGCCACCCTCCTGGGTCCTGTTAGATGACGTTGCTTAAGCAACAGGATCTGAAGCAAGCCAGCTTTGTCACAGTACAAACAGTCCCTCAGTGAACTAGGTCTTGTGTCATGTAGGACTTTATAAGTGATAACCAGCAACTCGAATTGCATCTGGAAGACAACTGGCAACCAATGCAGTTCATGGAGCAGAGGTGTTATATTGGCAAAACTTGTATGTTCTTTGCAGCTATTGGCTACCAAAAGTCTTAACTGAAAAGTGGGGTGCCTGATTGTAAACAGTTACTTGCTCCTAAAATAGAATGTCTTCTAGGTCCATGAACTTTACTTACTGTTTTTTCTAGTTTGCTTCTGATCTTTCCAAACTAACTTCTGACCTGTTGAAGACAGAAAGGATTCTAACTGTTAGAGACAGGTTTTGTTTGAGTAGTGTTTTCCTGGTTCTGTTGTGATGTTCTCTTTGGCTATGATTCCTGGCTCAGTCTTTTTAGTATTGTTCCAGACTTTTGGTTCTTGACTCTTGGCTCTGTTCAAATAGCTGCCAATGGCTCAGCTTTGGCGGAGTGGGAGAAGGGAGTTGGAGTGGTTGGAGAAGATCAATATCTTCTTCTTCCCACAGTCTCTTCACAACAGAGAGCGAAGTTCCTTGGTTAAGAAAAAGCAGTGTCAAGATTTTAAATGTACACATTTGCTGTCAAGGTGTGCCACTGAAACATGATATATTGGCCATCTTTCTAGGGAGTGGGGTTGGTGATAGAAATAGCGTTGTTTCCACAAATAAGAAAATGTAGTAATTCACTTATGATTTTCTTCTTCTTCTACAATGCACAAGCTCTGGCAAGAAAACCGACCAGATTTTATCAATATTCAGCTGTACCTCAGTCAAACAGATGGGATACAGGTATGTAGTAAAATATAGTTATCAGCTGCAGAAGTGCCTTTCGAGAATACTTGAAAACTCATGTTTAATAACGGTCAGAAGGTTGCCTTTGAGCACCATGGATTGTCCACTGTCAATGCAATTCCCACTGTCTCCCAACTTAAATGGGTTGAGCTTGAAATCACTGAATATTCTATTGCTTAGACTCCTTGGTGACCTAATGGAACGATAGAAAATATGTAGATAAAATGATGCCTTAGTCCAGAGATGGTAGTCTGTGACTGTATGTGGACCCCTAACCACTTCAGCAGCAAAATGATGATTTTTCAGCAATGTGATTTTTTGCTTTTGTTTTAAACTAAGTCTGCTCTGACTACACCTCCAGTGCCCTGCCTTAGATGTTGGCCATCCTGATCCTTACTGTTGGGGTAAGCTTAGGGAAAGTAGCAATGAGTAGATAGGGCCAGTGACAAGACCCCTTGGATACAAGTGGTGTGGATGGCTGCCATCCAGAACAGGGTTTTACAATGTGTGCTCTACAGAATCCAAGGGTCCTATGAAAAATTAAGGGCAAAATAAGGAAGTTCACTTGAATGCTGCCAATTTTCTACCAGTTGAGTTTTGCGTCTTGAACAGAGGTTCTGGGATTTTTAAAAAAATAACAGGTTCTGCAACCTGAAAAACTTTGAAACCTCCTGATCCATCCATCCTCTTGTCTATCAGTGGCACTTGGAGGCATTGGCAGAGAACAGCACTAACAGATGAAGAGTTGGGTGACTCTTCATTTAGATCAGTGTTTTTCAAACTTGGCAACTTTAAGATGTGTGGACTTCACCTCCCAGAATTCCCCAGCCAGCATGCTGACTGGGGAATTCTGGGGTTGAAGTCCACACATCTTAAAGTTGCCAAGTTTGAAAAACACTGATTTAGATAGTCCACAATGCCCAGTTGTCTGGACACTCTAAGTTTCTTGGAATAAGGCTGGGTTTGTGCAAGATGCTAGATTAGGGGGGTCAAGGTAGTTTGTAGTTCAGTGTAATATGGGACCCCAAATCCATTTTAACTGAGTCTAACATATTATGCAGTTCTAGCAAGTTGTGTGAACCAGGTGATAGCATTAAGGCATAATATCATTTATTTGTTGGAAAATTTCATGTTATGCAAACACAGGTTTGTTCACCTCTGTTTAGGGCTTAACATGTCATGAGCTCAACCTATTTTCCCCCCAAAAAGGAATGGGGAGAGTACATGTCTACATTGGAGCCTCCCAGGGCACCACAGTCTCAACAGATGCATAAGGAAGTTGTGCATTGATGCAGGAGGATTTTCGTATACCCAGATGCACAGGCATACACACCCAGAAACACATTCACAGGTGGATTTAACTGGGTCAGAGCCATCAATATTTTGGGTTGTCCAGATGTTGTCCAGGACATGTTCTTAAACTGATATGCAAAGTGGTGGGTGGTTGATCGGCAGCAGTCTGCAAAGTGCACCAAAGGGAATGTCTTGTTTCTTGCAGAAAACAATTGGTGAGAAATATCAAGTGCTGAACCACCGGCTTTTCATTGGGCGGCCAGGATGGAAACTTCTATTTAATGAAATAGCCAAGTATAACAGACAGTAAGTAAGATTCCCAACCCAGTTTATGCAGCAGCCTGAGGAATGGGAAAGTAAGGTGGCAGGAAAGGAAGTTTAATAAACTGAATTTGTAGGGAAATGAGTTTGGGTTTAACACGTTCATTTAATGCCAGAGCACCTGATGCTTGCTGTTATCTAATCTGTTGCATCTGAGAAATGGAGTTTTAACAAAGAACTGTCAGCTTCCACAATCAAAGTAATTCATCTTCCCAGTAACCAGGCAGCTGGTAGAGAAGAAAAAGAAACTCTTCTGCACAGTTTCATCATCAGTCAAAGGTGTTGTATTTTCTGCCATATTTCCATACCTTGGCCCTGCACCTGCAATCCTTTGGGGAAATTTTCCTGCCCAGATCTGTTGAAGTAAATGGGAGCTGATTGTTGATAGCTCTCCCCACTCATCTCTCCATTTAGGTGGATCTTGTGTTGGAGGGTTGGGGAAAAACAAGGTGGACGTATTATCTTTAGAAAATAGAATTGTTGTGGAGTTGGGTGGCACTGACAAATAAATACTGGCATCCTCTAGTTTTTACAGAACAGTTCCAGAAATGCTCATGAGAACATAAAAATTGTCCTGCTGGATTAGGTCAAAAGTCCATCCAATCCAGCACTCGCTTTCCAATAGCAGCCAAGCATATGTCTCTTCTTGGCTAAGATCAAGTGTCTCTGGGAATCTGCCAAGCAGGTCCTCCCTTGGTGTTCCCACCCAGCAACTAATATTCCAAGATATATTACCCTTGGACCTGGAAGTTTAAATGAATAGCCAGCAGTTGTTGTTGTTTTTTCCTCCAACATGAATTTATCTCATTTCATTTAAAGCCATCATCACATCTACTGGCATGGCATTCCATAAAATGGTTGGAAGAGTACTTTCTCAGTCCCTGGAAATGAAGCCAACAGGAAAGTGTTAACTCCAGATCATTTGGTAGAAGGCAGGGCTTCAGGCTTCTTTCTGTCCCATGGGCACCCTTCTCCTTCAATCTTATTCTCTGTCAGCGGCTTTTCTCTTGGATCCATCTCAGGAGCCAAGAAGAAAAGGGAGAGACCAGCGATCCTTCCACACTTGCAAACAATAGCACCTCCTGGAGCAACATGCCAGCAGGAAGTTGCAACCACCTGGCTGTGCAGGAGAAAGGTTAGGAAATCAAGAAAGAACCATCGGGAAGTGCCCAATTGGGCTGCCAGCAGTGGTGCTAGCAGATAACATTATAACCAAAGAACATTTAAATCATTAAGGTAGATCCAGATCAAAGGGCCTTCAGAGAAAGTTCAGACATCTCAGGATATGGGTGGATAAACTGCTCATGTCCATATCAGTGGCATACGCAATCGCTGACCACATACTGGCCAAGCATCTGTGCCAGGGTGAATGGGTCCTCCATCTGGAATTTTTCATAAGATGAGAATCTCCTGTGTTGATCTATTCATGACAGTAAATGACAGAGAAACGACATCTTCTCTGGCACCCTAAATGCAAGGAAAGTTTTGTGAATACACAGTTTTAATACTGTGGTGGCACACAAGGCAAGAGGGATTCTAGTGGAAAGAGGAACACCCATGGCACCCGGAATGTCAGGATATCCTCTTTCAAGGCTAGACTTTCTGTAACTACCTGGAAATTGGGTGAAGCAACCCCTGAACTTGCATCTTTTAGGTTCAGTGTAGAGTGTAGAGACTATCTTGGTCCCTGAACTGTTGGGCTTCTTAAAGTTGGGTATGCTAATGGACCAGCAGCAATCAGGCTGCACAGACAGGCAGCCAGTTCTTTGATGAGAGCAAAAGACACTGCTTTTAGGCCATCCTTATGTGCTGACTCCTTAAGAATATAGTCCTCTCATCCCAGTGATCCTCTGTTTCTCTACCTGGGACTTGTCAAGGTGTGTTAGATCTAAATCATTAGAATCAGAACAATAATCCATAATCAAGACCGGAAATGGGCTTTCAAGGAACAAGTCTGAGTTCTGATCAATAAGATTTATTGAGAAAATGGTTAAGGTGATAGAATTCCAATGAGTATTTTTGGCTCCAGATATGTGTGGCTACCACTTCCAGGATTTCCAGGTTGCAAGCTGGGAAGGTGCAGCCCAGAACATCTGGAGAGTGCCAGGTGAGGAAGGCTGTTTGGCACAGCAATGCTGAACCTGCAGGTAGATTACTAAAGGAGGTATCAGGAGAAACTGGTTAGAAGATTAAGCGCACATCACTCTCCCAAGTGGCCAATTTACATATTTGCAATTTCTTGACCAGGTTAGCTTCTCACAGCACCAAACATGTTTTGTGCTTACAAGATCTTCTCAAATGAGAGAAGACTGCCTTCAGATCCCTGAGGTTCCTACGAGCCTCAAGAAATGAGGTTTTTTTCCCCCCGTTACTTGTCTTCCCTGCTGAAAACACACAAGCCACATACAAATGTCTGCAAATCTATTTTATAGAAATCCAGTCATTTAGAACCATTATCCACTCCAACCTTCCAGCAGTAAATCTGTAATTAAATGCATCTTGAGTTTCCCCTGCACCTATTCTCAGAATGTGGCATGTTTGTGTGTCTGTGAGCGCACGCATACGTGCACTGCAGTAGAGATGTTTTCTCAGTGGGGCACTTATCAGCAAGGTGTCCCTTAGCACTCTCGTAGCTGTTCAAGGATGTTGGGTGCTGATTCCAAATGTGACTGTAACATCTGTTGTTGCAGTAGAAGTAGTAATTTATGTAATATAACTAATAGGCTTTTTTTTTTTTACAGAGAAACATAAGGGGACATAACTCACCTGCAGACCAGCATTCCTGTCCTACCTTCCTTATATATATTCTTCTAATTAAAAAATAATAATGAATGGGAAGCTGGCGTACTACAAATCAAAGAGGTAGCCTCTAGCACCATCATCTGTATTTATAAGGAGTGTTTCTAGATTCAGAAAGGCCCCGTAGGTATTATCTAAAAATACAAAATATTGGAGGGACTGCAGGCCAGAACTTTCTTTGAAAAGGCTCCCCTCTTACAGAAAAAGAAGACGAGGAGGAGGAGTTGGAATAATAGAGAGCTGCACGATAGGACAAACATACTAGTTAGTCTTCTATTTAATGGGAATTTTGAGACATGTCATGCCCACTGTTTGTGAGCCATTTGAGATCCCAACCACAAATTCCAAATCCAGCAACTCTAAGACTATCTTTGGAGTAATAAGCAAAAATGCAGGTCCTGTTCTAAACCTGAGTGCCATCAAACAGAGAAAAGACCAGAAGAACAAATGACATGCAGAGAACATGTGAATACAGCCACGCTTGCTCACAAGCTCAAAGAATCTCTGCTAGAAGGTTTTTAAAACCTTGGAGAACTTCCCCATCCAGATTGGAATCCCAAAACCTAGTTTAGAGGAACCAGTGTTCTGACTCATTTAAAGCAGTGCCATATACTGTACAAATCAATGCAAATCTATGTTCTTAGGTCCAAATATTGTGCCTTAACTCCTTTAGAGAATCAGGTATTTGATTGCTACCTAATAAGTCAAGGGCTTTTAGCACCTTGAATACAGATCCTAACACAGGCAGCTAAATTAGCTTGCTGGAGAATTAAACACCTGGCCTTTTCAAGATGTTCACATTTTTAGCATGGTACAAATGTTTTTAGGCTTAGAAACTGTTACATTGGATTTGTTTTTTCACCTTGCCTCCATCCTCAATCTTTCAGTTTAACTCTGTTGAGCAAAGTAGTTGCCATCTACTGGCAAATAGAAAGCTTGCACCTATCATTCCAGGGTCCCTCTGGCTTCCTTCCACCATCTTTTTTGCAGCTCCATATCCCATCATCAAGGCTTTCATTTGCTCTGTTAGAATGTTGAACACCATGAGGTTGAAAGAAAGCTTCTCTTCCACTGCTTGAAGTTCTAATTTGGAGAACAACAACAAGGAGGATTTGTGATGGTGCCATTGTTCAGCAGCTGGTCTTGGTTCATTCAATGCCAGAGAACATTTGTGTATCTGTTAAATCTCTTGATGCTGCAGGAAAGCAAGCAACAGCTTCCCCTCCTGCCTAAATTTTCTCATCCCACACATTCAGCCATGTTCGCTTCTTGCTGGTTTTGCAGCATTCCCAGGGTCCACTTGATTTTAGAGTGGGTTGATGAATGTGGTTGGAGACAGAGGGAGAGATATAACAGACTCATACAAGATTCATGTAAGAGAAGCTGCCTGCCACACCATGAAACTTTAGACTGTTCCTGGGCATCCAGAAGAATGGATGTAAGCTACAGTACACGAGGCCAGATTCCAAAACTTCCTAATATTAAGAACAGTTCTTTGGTGGAACCAGTGGATCAGAGAGGGGTGGACTTCACTGGAGGCACTCAGGTGGAGGCTAGGCAGCCAACTCCCTGGGATGTGTTGGAATCTGCTGAGCAGTAGGTTCAACTTGATGACCTCAGTGACCCCTTCCACTTCTATAATTCTCAACAGTAGAACCATACCCATATTATACTGAGATAGTGGCTTTTATATTTTTATTACATCCTTCCTACTCTTTTTAAAGTGCTTTTAATGCTTTCAGTAGTTCTGTAATCCATCCAGAGATTTTCAGTTCCTACTCAATCATCAACAATGGCAACCAAGTGAGATCTGCAATTAAATGCTGAAGTAGGAAGGGCGCTCCTCAAAGTCCCAGCCAGCTAGCTGTGCCCTCTTCAAAGAATTCCATTTCCATGTTCCCCCCCCCCATATTTATCCATTTAAGATTTTCTTCCTAAAGATATGTTACAATTCCTTCAAACCATAAAGTTCCCCATCCCTCTAAATAGCATCTTTTTGTAACTTGAGAAAGTATTTTGGAAATGCCTGCAAAAATTATCATGGTCCTGTTTCCCCTCTGTTCAAGTGAAAACAAATTCAGCTTTTGAGGCTAGGAAGGACTTGGTTCAGAATTCCCAAAGAGCTGTTGCTAGTTGGAATGGCCAAAGAAAAAAGAACTTGACAGAATAATAGTTTCTCTTGATAA